AACGTCTTACCGCGATCATAATAATTTATAAGTTTTACTAACAATTTAAGTTATAAGAAAACTTTTAACTTTGCATCAACAATTCAACTTAGCAATTTTCACATGCTAAAGCTTTTAAGTACTTAGCAAAAATATAAATCACGCGGCAACGAACCTCACTCGTAATTTAATTAAACATACAACAAGCATCANCNAGACTCACCTTTGACTTAACGAATGATCGCGGTTCTGCCAAAGGTTTCTACGGGCGTTTGCCTTAGACTTTTACGAATGATTTTGCCTTAGTCTTTGAACTGGAATCTGTTCCAAAGGTTCACGAATTAACCAATGCAAGACTTAGAGTTTTCTTAAGGAAATTTGATGGTAAAGCTCACGGATCTTACCTAACTTGGAACTGAGCTTGCCGTGAACTATCTCTAGATCTTTTAGAGCTTAGCCGAAGTTCAACCTACGAATTTAAGGTAGGTTGAGCCATCAGATCAATAAACTAAGATTAGATTCATGATCAGCACGAAAAATCACTTTGAAAACGGTAAGGTTCGATCACAGGAAACTTACCCTAAGTTTTCCCAAACCTGCTCGACAAGACTCGCGGCGCAACTACTCTATGGTTCGCGGTGGACTAGACAATGGACTACNCGGTTCGNATGGACTGATCGATTCNNAATGATCGTAACAAACTATCGCGGGCTAAGTTAAAACTTTGCGGCTAATTCGTCCATGGTAAAGGGACAGGCTATTTATAGGCGCGGGTAAGCAGGTGAAGCAGCTGGACACCCCGCGGCCACCTGCCAAGGCCATTCCACCGAGCCTTGCCCGTGTCGCGACACGCGTCTGGGACCGTGACTCTGACCAGGCGTGTGTCCGATACACGCGAGCGTGGGCTCGTCATGCTTAGGCACAACTCGGGCGCAAGCCTGCCCGTGTCCTACCCACGGCCGAAGCAGCTCGGTCACAGGCTAGCTGCCTAGCTTATTCATCAAGCTGCTTAGGCTTATACGAGGGTCATTACAGTAACCGTCAGGCAGGAAAAGGTGTGAGTCCTGTCGTTGGGAAGACAATTTTCAAAAGTCCAAGAAAAAAGGAGTTCCAAAGGTGATTAATTTAGAATCAGACTGTCAAGTGGAGGAAGCAGTTAGTAGAAGTAAATGTGTAAAAGATATTGTTGATAGAGGAGAAGAGGTTGAGAAAGAAATGTCTGACAGAGATAAAGAATATGATCAAGAAGAAATATATGTAGAAGACAAGCCTGATGTAGAAGATAATCCACAGGATCAAGAAGAAATGGATGCAGCAGGCAAAATAGATGAGCCTGAAATGGCT